ATCCTTTTGTTTTACAATGTCATTAAGTACAAGCAATACCCCCATCTTTGATTTTTATATATACTGTAACGAACTTGTTTTAATTTATTTTAATATGAACGTTGTTTAGATTAAGTTTATATTTAAAAACATGCATAGCTTGTAGTGTTAGATATGTATTGCGCAACTCCCGTCTATTCTCCAAAGTTGTAGAAGATTCTCGAGAGTAAGAATCAACAATATATGTGTGTATGTAAACGCTTTAACCAGTATTGTTACATAAGCTGAATTTTCTAGAAAGCCTCAACACGCCTATAAATATAACCAACGCACTGCACCAAAGAAAGTATCTATTATTAGTTCGCTATAATCAGTGTGCTAAAAACTTCGGAAGCTGTAACTGTGATTGTTATAACGCTTATCAATCGAAAAACTTCAGATATTTGACCAGCAATATTTATAAATTTCGAACAATACAAACCATTTAACGAATTTGTTGTCATGTATTTATTTTAATATGAACGTTGTTTAGATTAAGTTTATATTTAAAAACAAGCATAGCTTGTAGTGTTAGATATGTATTGCGCAACTCCCGTCTATTCTCCAAAGTTGTAGAAGATTCTCGAGAGTAAGAATCAACAATATATGTGTGTATGTAAACGCTTTAACCGGTATTGTTACGTAAGACTGAAGTTTCTAGAAAACGTTTCCACGTTATAAATATAACTAACGCGCTGCGCCAAGAGAGTGTCTATTATTAGTTCGCTATATGTCGGTGTTATATAAAACTTCGAAAGCTATAAATGTAATTGTTATAACGCTTATCAATCGGGAAACTTAAGATATCTGACCAGGAATATTTGTAAATTTCAAACATTCCAAATCATTTAACTTCAGTGGATTCTCATCAGAAACTAGTAATTTTATGAAGACATATAAATTCATCGTGGAAAACCTAGTGTGTGTGGCCAAGGGCAAAGCTAGCTAGATTCCCAGCGGATCGTCTCTACATCAACTCGTAATTAACTCGCTCATCGTGAATCCTCGATAAGATATCAGGGAGGTTCCAGACCAGAAATAAAAATTTATATCGTTTGTAAGTTTATGAAACTTCCGTTTATAAATCATTGTTTGTTGTAACTATTTGTAATAATTATTATTGTAAATGGTACTATTGTGTGTATATTAAAACGTATTTGTATAAAATAAATCTGTATGTATCAATCTTGTTGGCAAATATCATAAGCTGACTATATATCGGTTTTTACTTAACTACTAAATCCAAAGTACAATTTAACTACTAAATTTAAATTTATCAGTTAACTCAATTTCAGGCCATTTGAAATTCTAATACGTAACAATGTCAAGCTCAGAAACAGTTCACTTGAACAAGTGAAACATATTTTTAACCAAAACTACATGAAAACAAGAGGTACACCATGTTTTCTTACATTCTACGAATATTCCAACTGCAAATTATTCTTTCCCTACTAGCAATGAAATAAGTTCATCATGTTTCTCACTTGGTGTGATGTATACTACCCTAACATTCTTATGTCTCTTTCTCGGGGAACAAATTACATACTTATGAATATCTAAGTGAAGGACTAAACTGAACATGTTATTTAGCAACATCAACATAGAATACATCATGTTGTTTCTCTTACTGTGGCTAAATTAATAATTGTGGTCTTTACCAAACAGTTACACATCTTCATATTCAGTGTACCCAGTGGCTCAACTGTAAATCTGATGGCTTATAACACTAAAAATTGGGTTTTGATACACACAAGAACAGATAAGCCATAGTGTCTTACGTAGTGGAAGTACCAGGCATGACATCAAAATCCCTTTCACCATTACAGCTAGCAAACAACATAGTCACTATATTGTCCATGCTAGTGCTGCCATCTAAAGATCAAAGAACCCACTATATTAGATAAACATAAAAAATAACCGATGCATTGATAAATAATACAGAGTTCACCAAGATTTATAGACCCCACGTCACTTTTTCATGTCAATACCCTTACGTACTTCTGTAAGACTGTATAAACCTATCAAGACCACAGGTGTGATCACACACCACAAATCAACACTGGGTCAGATCAGTTAACACACAAGAGTGCTCAGGTAAACATAACTTAACGTGAGTGCTATGAAAGATGGGATTGCAAAATTCTTTAAACTTATAGGCATGTCTAAATTTCCAGTAATAAAAAAGTCAGAACCATATGTTGGTGTCCTAGCATCTCATCTCATGACGTCAGCTGTCTCAGCTGGATTTATCTATGAAGTATTACACAGTCTTCTCCATAGGAATGCCTATTACAACTCACTAGATAGCTCAAGTGATAATTGCAAGGCATCACACATCTTGCTAGCAAATATTACTCAAACCTCAAACAATGAAGGTAAAACTTCCTCTGGCATCCTAATTGCAGGTCAAGCAGTTAATCCCAGGTATAAGAAATCAAAAAGTAGCTACTGGCATATAAACCAATAATCAGAGCAGTCAAACTATTCTCTGCTGGCACTTCCTCATCTGATTCCTGACAGGCTATCAAATATACACTGCCAGCACAGTCCTTCTCCTAAGCTGAGATGAGATAAAAAAACAACAACAAGAAACAGTGCTTTCACTATCAGAGTAAACTTACTCATTCACATCTTATTCTTGGAGCAACCAGTAAACCAGGAGGCTCATTAGTGTCAGAGCTTCTGTTTGTTTATGTTTTTAGCAGCAAATATGTACATGTCATGCAACTGCTGAAGCTCATAGTTCATTTTGTTAAACAATTGACACACGAGATACAGTCTGGTTGAGCCATAACTGAACTACTTATGTGCTGATGATGAAAACCATAGCCAGATCCAGTCACCAGACTTGAACCTTTATTCTGCTACTGCTCTTTCATAACCAAGTTTTGATGCAAATTTACTTTAACCAACTATTGGAACATATATTCAAGTGCATCATACTCATGAGATGAATGCAGTACATATGTACTGGGCAGTGGGTCATACATCAGGTCAGTGGAAGTTGTATTTTTTGTCTTAAAATGAATATTTTTGTAGAAAAGTCAGTCAGTTGCTGATCAGTTGCATGATACATGGCATATAATAAGTACTCATTTGAGTCAGCCAATTACGTTTTCATAAACTTATTACACATCTGGTTGGCAGCCTAGATTGCCTGCTCAAGCAAAACATCAGACAGAGGATGATATAACGAAATGTGCATTTTTACCAAACCCAACACAACTCTGGAAACAACTCTCCAGGTGTTACAAATCAAGTTATCCACTGTTCAGCCAACACATCAGCAATAGACTGGACTATGCTAAAGTAATAATCAATGGATACATTTCAACCTATTTGATGAAGTAATCTATAATAACCAATACATAATGATCATTCTTCTCAGTTTTGGGCAAAGAAATAGCTGTATTTAAAGCAATTATCTGTAAAAAAGAACTTACAACTCAGTGCCACAATTTTCTCTCACATGGACAATTCTTCTAAGTACAATCAGAAAGATCACTACTGCATATCCAGGATGGTGTGACACTTCCTGGTACTCTTCAGTCATTTCAATATGCAAAGTCTAGAGTAATTCCAATATTAGAGCTATGGGGACCACTAGCCACATCCAAGGTCAGGTACCAGACCATGCTGGTTCAAAGAAATGATAAAACACATCATCTTAAACTTGTAACTGAACAATTTATGTGCCAAACATCATTTGCATTAACACCACTAAATTTGCCAGTTAATAACATTCATGTTTCACCTTGTAGCACAACACATAGCATCCAGGATATATCCAGACCCTTTAGGTGCTCTTTGTGAAGCTCTTGATTGGTCATTTGTGTTTTCTATCCATAAGCAGTATTGCCAATACTCGTATAATTCATTGCTACTGCTGGAACAATGTGAATGGTTGTGTCTGCACCAGTTGGTGAGATAATACACACGCATTTCAAGATTTTAACTCAAACAGTGTTGTATAATGAAGATGTAATCTTGCAGAGTTTTATCAAATGTGCAATCATACCTTCCAGATTTTTGGAGTTATTTAGCCCTTTCTGCGAGAGGTGGCTCACTTTCGTAGTGAATTTCTCACTATAAAATTAATGGATGTAGTGTTTTCCAAATACATTTATAAATGCTCCTTTCTTTGTTGTACAGTATAGTATTGAGGAGATTTTAGCCTAGGGATTACATAAGTGATTACAAACTCCATGCCATCCTACATTTCTGATAAAACTGCTCCAATTCTACTATCACTAGCATAATTATCCAGGATGAACAGACAATCATGGTAAGGATTAGCCAACACTGATGCTTTGACCATAGATGCTGTAAGGATTAAATGACTGTTTATATTTATGCATCAACCCAAAGTGTACAGACATCTTAAGCAATTTAGACAATGGTGTTCCTATCTTGAAGAAATGGATCATAAACCTTCAGTAATACAATACACAACCTAATCCTTGACTACTATGTGGCTAATAAACCCCACTTGTGCATCAATGAATACATTCCTGGTTTCAATTTCAAGCCTTGTCTGACATATACTGACATATCATCTTCATGTTCTCATCAGCACCTTGAAATGTGCAACTCCAAACCAAAAAGTCATCAATATAAATAAAACACCTCCACCACAGCAATTATCTATGTATACATGCTATCAGCCTCTAAAAAGTGTTTAATGCATTACACAAACTAAGTGATCATACCATCTCTCACAAGTGCTAAAAGCAGTCACAGGTCTACTTTTATTGTCCATTTCAACTTGCCAGTACCCTGATCTGGTGTAATGAAGTAATAAATTTCTTCCAGCACATCCAGTTGTTTGTGTTTTGGAGGCAAAGGAAAAGTATCAATTCATGTTAACATATTCACCCATCTAAAGTCCCCACAGAGCCATAGAGTTCTCTCCTTCCCCATAATGACTGTTTGGAAACAGTCTGTAAAAGTTGTATTATTCCTTTTTTCAAGATCTAGTCCATTTCACCAATGGCAACACCCTTAATACCTCAAGGAAGCCTAAATGCCAGTTGTTTTGTCATCTTTGTCTATGTGATGACATGTTATTCACCCAGATGTATATATGGTCTCACAAACACATAGAAATCACCTTGAGTAGTTCACCGTGTTTCTTCTCCTTTCTAAAGTTCAGGTTACAACAAAATGCTCAAACAGTGATCTTGGACATTCAGGAAACAATGCTCTTGTCTTTGGATAAAACTTCAGGGACACCATGTACATAGTTGGACTGTGTCACTCATGATGCTGTTATTGTTTCAATAACCATTACAATTGAAGTTTGAATATCTATATGACTATAGTTACAAAACATGTTCGAGTAAGTGTTTCATTTGTTGGATCTGTCATGCCACCAGATTAAATATATTGCACCAACAGAACACCACTTGCATATTTAGGAACTACAACCCCTTTCTCAACATGCAAACATATAGTTCACTGTTTTTGGTCAAGGTCTGATTAACAATGGATAGTTTTTCATTTGTTGCCCAGACTCGCAGTGCACGGGAGTCATTTGTAATCTTTAATTAGTATCATTAGTGAATACCTTGTCATATTATATTGAAGAGTCAGCTTGGCTAAAAGGCATATACCTTAAAACTTGGAACAATATAAAATGTAGAGGTGTATTAAAATTTAAGTCGAAATAATAAAATTGGTACAAGAGCACATGGGCGTTCGCAGAAATATTTCCGAGGGGGGGGGGCAAAGTTAAAATCAAGGGACGATGGACAATTTTTCCATTACAGTTAAGAGAATAGGCAAGCTCTCACAGTCAGATTTGATGGGTTTAATCTTTGTAAAGTTAGTTTAAGCCATCAACAACAACAAAATCGTAGCAGGAATTTAGGTTTGATATCTTCCAAGCCTCAAAGAAAGAGTTGGGGCCTGAAAGACAACCCGGGATGGTTAGAAACTTTTGTTCCTCTTCACACCGTAGCTTAAGCCATACTACTACTACTACTACTACCTGGTAGTTGTTTTGATGATAAAAATTGTTAAAGAAATAATCATCAGGGTGCAAGAAGATTAAGCAATTATTGGTGAAGTTAGATCTGATGGATTACAGGGCAATTGTGAATTATTGGGAAGAGTTAAAGCGGCAAAGGTGAAGGCAAGGCAAAACCTGGACACGTAGTGGTGAAGGAAAAGAAGAGAAGTCAACATAGAAAAAACATCATAACAAACAAGCCTTGTCAGGGCCTGGCAGGGATCAATAAATTCAAATGCCGTGACTGGCAACTACAGACTCAATGCCTTAATTTGTTGTTTTTTTTGGGGGGGGGGAGTACGGAGAGAAAACCCACTCTCACTGAACGGGACCGAATTACCGCCTGTTCAGTGCCAGGCAAAATGTATACTTGATTTAAGTTGAAACTTAAAAATCTGTAAGATACT